TACTAAGGAACTCACCTAAAAACAGGAATCCATAAGCTTGAGGGAAGATGAAGAAAACATACAGTATCTCTGGTGTATTTCATGCCAATATGATTTCTTTTGAATTTCTTGAGGACACTAAATCGGTAATTAGTAAATATTAATTAGTTGTTTGGTCTAATAAACCGAAGAAAATTAATCGAAGATAAACAGAATTAGCTTGAGTTAATTTGTAAACAAATAATTTCGTTGAATATCCATTATGCCTTTTTATGCTCATAGAGCATGTCATGCAATGGCTTAATTTGCCTCACATTTTCCAGAAGCTGTCAAATCTTAGGGATTTCTCTCAATTAGTTCACAATTCGGATGAACTTCTGGGCAGGTATGGTCCATTCTCTAAGTAATTGAGATTCTGGATTAAATTTTGATGATGAACTTCGATCAAGGATTAAACTTCACTAAAAAAGATACAGCATTTTCAGATAGAAATTTATTGAGCAAAATTTAGAAACTGCTTGATTCGTTCATTAATAGTTGAATTTATTTGATTATTGTATCTGAGAATCCGATTGTACATTTTATGAAATACTTACCATTGCTTACAAAACTGATTTTATTTGGAAGTTTGAAAATTGCTTGATATTATAATAATTGGCATTAATGTTAATTTCATTTTCAAGACTAATCAATACAAATGCAAATTTAAGGTTCATAATTTAAGAAATAAATTTATAAAGTTAACTTGGATGAGGTGGAGCGGAAAATATCACCGAATCATTGTACAGATAGATTCAGATGAAAAGGTGCATTACTTTTATAAATATATATAAGCAAAAGGGAAATGGTATTTTCATAAAAAATTGGATAAGATACAAAATGATCAGGATAAAAAGTTCATTGGTTGAATAAGACAATAGTCACGATTCAATGGCAAATATATTTATCCATTTGGATGCGATGAGATGAAGTCGCAATGAGAATGTAACGACGATGATTAGTTAATTAAGTTTGAATAAGATGTGGTATCACATCTAATCACCATTGATGATGATAAAATAATTTATACGCTGGGATGATCTAGTTTTCCATGATTCAAATCAAAAAAAGTTAATCAGTAAAACTTATGAGATTAATAGATTTGTCAAGTCAAAAAAAATATAATGAAGCATCACAGATTTAAAAAATTGATTGAAAGGTATACTGAAATGCTCATAGACAATGGAACTAATTTTTTCATAAATTATTGTTGAGCTTTAGCAGCTTCAGCTCTGAATAATGAATTGATCCTGGAGCAAATTTTCAAAGCGGGTCCAAGCTTCATACTCATAGCAGACATAAGATGATCTTCCTTAAGTAACATGAGTGCTTGTCCATCGATTTCCTGGGATTTAAATTCATCAGCATATTCTTGACATCCAGGTAAATTTCGTACAAAATCATAAACATCTTGGACCTGATGGATACAATAAAAATAAATATTAGAAAAGGGAAAATAAAATGACAATTTGTTCTTAAATGAGATGATAAAGAAATGG